TACAAAACACACAATTAACTTAGAATATGTGATTATTGTTAATTTAATTTTTTTTTTTAATAAAAATTAAAAACACTGGGGAAAACTGGGAGGGTGGCGCCCTATCGCCCTCTACTGGCCAGCTGCCACTGAGCCACACCATAAAACGGCAATAAGTCGGTCTGAGGCAAAAGTGAACCTCATGGCTATAGCTTTTCTATCTTTTCCCTATTGACATTTGATTACGCACAAGTAGGTGACCAGTTCAGGTTCACGCAGAGCAGAAGGAAGGAGAGAGCTCTGGTTAAACGTTCCCGCTTTAAGAATACCGTTAAATTGCATTGTTTATGTGCTACCTGGGCACTCTAAATGTTTATTTAAAATTAAATCAAAGGAAACTGTAATGGTATTGAATGTTTATTAATTACTATTTCAAAACTACATAATACATAAACATAAAAATGAAAGTGATGGGGAAAAATGTTAATCATATTTTTTTAACCCTGTCAGTCGAGTGACTGTTTAGCGTGACGTCTGATATATATATATATATATATATATATATATATATATATATATATATATATATATATATATATATATATATATATATGCATATATATATATATATATACATATCTGGCTATATTAATGGCTATGTATATATATATATATATATATATATATAGCCATGCCCTGATGTGGAGCTAGGGGGTGCGTCGACATGGTCGGGACATAGAAGGGGGTGCGTGGCTAAATAAGTTTGGGAACCACTGTTCTAGAAGATACTGAAAATGTAAAAAAAATAACGAATTCCTGAAATGAGTTTATGTTACAGGGATATTGTGCAAAAAACTTCATAAATATATTTTGTATAAAACATAGAAATATTATAAGAAGTCACATGTCCCCTTTAAGACACATTGCAGCTGTTTCCATTTTTGCTAGCTTTTAACGTGCCTATTTCACCAAAGCTTTGCCCAAACTGAAGCCATTTAAAATATGACAGGTACAATAATTCTTGTTGATGAGCCACACCTCAGTTAATGTGAACTGTCACTTTAAGATGCAAAACCCCAACATGGAAATCCTACATTGTAGTGGGTAACCTGACTTTTCTGGACCCATAATAAGAAATAGGACAAAATCAAAGTCAAGGACTTAATGGCTAAATACACAGAGGAGGCAGTGGGAGGTCCTCTCACTTCATCCTGTGGCTTTAAGAAGCAAATTTGCCTCTGTGTTTGTTTTTATTCAGCAGGCTGAGATGACGCAGTCTGTTGGGTGCTCTACTGGCCGTGTGGTCTGAGTCCACTGAGTGGCTGATTCAGGGGTGGGCAACTCTGGTCCTCGAGGGCCGGTATCCAGTATCTTTAGTTTTTTTCCTGCTAAAACACACCTGATTTTAATCATGAGCAGGTGAATCAAGTGTGTTCGAAAAGGTAAACAATTAAAACATGCTGGAAAGCAGCCCTCGAGGACCGTAGTTGCCCACCTCTAAAACAACACAGAAATAAATGGATGATGTCTCATCTGTTAAGATGCTAAAAAGCTCAAAACATGATGAAACACAACCTAAAAGTGTTGACATCCAGCATCTGCTGCCAATTATGCAACCTTCCACAAACATCTGTTGTCAAAAATACTTCAAGGGATTTGATTTGCCAATGCAAAATGTTTTCTTTTCAACTTTAGGAATTGCATATCTAGTTGCACATTACAGTTTAAAACAACATACAATCAGAGCTGTTTTTTTTTTGTTTTCTGGATGTATGATTTGAACAGATTAAATCTGAGGAAATAAACGAACACCAGAACACCATTGTTTGGCAAGAAGAAATACACAAACACACAGCAGAGCTCTCAGAGCCTCGGTTGTTTATCCCCCTTTTGTCAAAAGCCAGTGAGAAATATTTTTTCATTAAAGAAAAAATAAATCAGAGTTATTATTGTTTAAGTCAGTCACGCTTTCTGCAGCATATGTAACACGACCCTTGTTCCCTTCCTCTTGGTTTTGTGGTCACCGCTCAATTTAACTAATGTATTTTTGTTGTCAAATGACAAATGTTCTCTAACTAGGAGGGTGCCAGCAGCGCTGACCTCTGTCCTCCATGTTCAAACTCACAATACTGCTGACCTGAAACCTGTTGATGTACGCAGTTCAGATCAAGTGCTACATATTCATGAGGTAAAGAATAGAGTCAAATAAAGCAAATTGTCAGGGAAAATTAGTCTAAACCTACTTTGGTGGAGTTTGACCTGCATCTGGAATAAAATTAGTTTACAGGAAAATGTTGAACAAAAAAATACTTGGATTTTAACAGAAAATATATTAGTGACATAAAAAACCCAATGACCTCAGCCAACAGCAGGATCCGACGACTGCAACATGAGAGTTTGGATTTGGCTCCACCCCTTTTTGGACACAAATTTCAGTTTTCACAAACTACTAAAATCCTGATTATTGTTCGGCTGAGACCTTTCAACATCTTAGAGGGTTAGGTCATTGGTCTCCTTTGCTAACTGTTTTACCATGCTATTATTTTTATAAAATTCTGTGTAATTTTTTTTTAAAATGTATTTTTCTCCATTTTTATTCCATATTTAACCTAAAAATTGCATAATCACTTGCAGTGAAATTCCAAATTAAGTGACTATACAGTTTAAAAAATACTGACATTGTTTCACTTCAACACATTTAATGCTTTAAATACCTCTTTAAATAGCCACTGTACCTGTATATATACGTATATATATATATATGATGTAACAAAAAACTTTCTATTTTTGTAACATAAATTAACCGATGTGTTTCATGAGCATAAAGAAAAATAACGTATTTTCCTAAATATTTTCAGTCAAATTTTGAATGAGACCAACTGTTTTATTTTGACATAAAAATGAATATTAGTAATTCTATTTTGGAAAATACCTGTATTGATGTACTACCAATGGGTGAGAGTATGTAATGCACAAGAATGAGAAAAGTATAACTTTGTTTCTTTAATTTCTAAATTTTTTTGTTGTTATTTTTTAACATGATTTATTTCCACCAACATATAAACTCCATCATTGTCAGTTAAACATAAAAAAAGTCATGAACAAGTTTTCATCATTAAATATCCACATTTGCTTATTGCTGTTTCTTGGCTGACTAATTAGGATGTAAAATGGCAACTGACACCAATATTACATCTCTTTAGTGGTCTGGCACGTGTCCACGGGTCTGAGCTGTGTGTTCTACACAAGAGATTCTCTTCAAGCCAGATCTTATTCCAGAAGACCTGGGGAGGCTGCTAATGGGCCCCAAGGGCTAGAACCATGGCATGGAACCTGATGAGTTTTGTAGAAGACCACTTTTCTATCTTAACAAGGCTTCAAGCTCTCTGGTGCATTCGACTTACCTCTCTTCATCGTTTCTCACGTCCAGCAGATCAGGTCCACTTCCTTCTCACCGTAAATCTAGAAAGCGGCGGGCCTGATCGATTAATTACCGGCACTCCTTCGAGGAAGTTCAGTCATTTATCAGATGACTGGACGGGGTGTTAATGCATGCCAAGCTGGTGCACATCTGTGTACATGCATGTGTGAAACGGGAAATTGAGTTAGATAACAGGAGATGAACTATTTGAATCCTCGCTCCACAGATCTATGCTTGATGGCCCATCCTTCCCTCCTCCTTCTTTACCCCTCCTTTTCCCTTCACTCCATCCCTTCCAGCACTGCAGAGTCCCCTGCTCTCTGTTTATAAGTGCCTGAGCCCCCAGAATTTAAAATAAAAAGCTCCGGTTTCCAGGCAGGTAAGTGCATCCAGACTTGTTATCTGTGATATCACCAGTGCTTTAGCCTTCTTCCTCCTGTTCCCTCCTTTTCTCCCTTATCCTCTCTCTTTCTCCCCCACTTTCTAGGTTATCTCCTGCGTCTCTAAAACTGTACAGTGAAATGCAATACATTGCATTATATACTTTGAGAAAAGCGGGTTCTGCCGCATCTTGTCATCGTTTAGGTGACCGGCCGGCGTTTGAAGTGCTCTCAGGTTCAGGGCTCGGAGTATAACAGTGACGGCTCGGCTGCACAACAGCGTATTATTTACCCAGATGGGGTTAATTGCTGAATAAAAGAATGGCTCTTTTCAGTTGACCATTGTGAAGGTTTGCCCACCCCTTCCTCTCTCTCTCTCTACACACACACACACACACACACACACACACACACCTATACAGGTAAGGGTGAACTGCAGGGACATTTTTCCCAAACAAGTTTTTTGATGAACTATAGGGACACCGATTTCTACTTACTGTACAGAGTTGGTAAGCATCTCAAAAAATCTATTTTAAGCCTTACAACACAAATCCCACTTCAAATTTTGTTTACACACAACACACACTTAATTATAAAAACCTGATGAAATGCTTCATTAAAGGGACATCAATAATGAGATGACTTAGCCCCGCCTATGACAAAAGTAGACATTTTAAGGTCCAACAAGAATTGTAAGGACAATACTTTAGAACCAAAAAAAAAAATCATCCAAGTATGAAAAATACTGGAAATGACCTAAATGAAATGAAGTTGGTCCAAATACCAAGTGTGAATTTGAAATGAACCAACCTGAAACAAAGAGCTGCAGTACACCACACTGTGTCTCTGAGATGACCCCTTAACAAAACGTTACAAATATAACCTCAATGTTATTCACTGCACACCTTTTGAGACAAACTGAGTGGACAAAAATCTAATTTTGACCCAAATTCCACCAGCTGACACTCACTGGCACATTAGAGCAGGGACGCTAAAACATGCTGGATAACAGAACAAGATTCCCCTGATGTTGAACTTTTCCTTTTGACTTTGCTACTTTGTCAGAGCAAAGCGAAGCCCTTATTACTGAAGGCAAAGCATGACCCTGCAGGTCCAGTACTTCCTCAATCCATGTTCATATTAAGGCACGACAATAACTAATCTTTTCCACTGAGGCAGGATCCCAAGGGCCCCCCAAACAAAGTTCCACAATGCATTGCTTGCAAGGTTGAGCTGTTTTATTAATGTCTATCATTTTACTCAAGTGAGCTATATTTTTTTACAAAAAGGAGGGTTCAACATGAAATTCTTTGACTGTTAAACGTAAAATCACAGCTTAAAACAAAGTAAAAATGGCAAGCACATTATACTCTCACTTCCTTATAGCTTTGGTGAACATTTAGCTAAACATCAACTAAATATTGTGTTTAACACTGCTTAACCCTCCCACTGTCCTAATGGGTGTGACCCTGCGAGGAAAGTTGACCATTGAGCAGGATTGATGGTTTATCCCTTGGGTCCATGTGGCAGAAGTGAGGAGTGAGCACCACCTCACCCCTGCCACGTGGACCCAAGGGATAAACCATCAATCCTGCTCAATGGTCAACTTTCCTCGCGGGGTCACCCATAAAGATAGTGGGAGGGTTATTGAACTACAACTGTCAACTTGAAAGCACAGCAAATATTCTTGTATGGAGCTTTAATTAACATTTTGCTCAACATCAACGATCGAGACATCTAGGATTTTTTTTTAGCTTTGCCTCTGTTTCGAACAAAGTCTCTTATGTTCTGTGGAGATCGGCCTTTAAGGACGAGATATTCAGCCTTTTTACACTGTTCTATTTCAATGAAGGATGCCAGCTTCCCAGTGTTGATGTGTTTGCTAAAGTACTTCATCACTGCAGCAACTTCTTTTGGAGACCAGGGACGCTTTTGAATCCTTCGAGGGCGCTTCTTTTGGGCTTCTTGATCAGGAAATGCTACAAATAAAAAAAAAAAAAAAAATACTTTGGTAATTATATTCCCAAGAAAACATCCCTACAAAAAAGCATACTGCTGTAACCTAGCTGCCAATCCAACTAGTGAGCAGCTGGTTTCTTTCTGATGGATTTGAATGCCTCCATAACCGCACTTCTGATCAACAGACTAATACATCACATTTCTCACAAATATGATAAACATAGGCCTACTGGACTTGTTTGGCAATATTTCTGGTGCAGATATTTGAATCAGCTCCTAAAACCCAAAGGACCACTCCTTACAGTGAATTTAAAATGACACATTTAAAAAAACACTTCAAAAATCTCAAAAATGTTTTCATTTATGAATCCTGTAACTGACTAATGCACAAAATGAGTTTAAATTGAATTCCACCTTAATGTCCTCATTTTCCTTTAATGTGTGAACTTCTTCCAATATGCTGTATTGAGCATTGATTTGCTGACTGAGCACTTTCACATTTCCCTGTTTGACAGAACATTCTTGTTATGGACGTTTAATTCCAACAATCTTTCCTGATTAAAGGTAAAACATAAAAAATAAACGTGACAATGCCACTACCAGGTAGATTATTTATTCTAAACAAACACTGGATGATCAGATCAAATCTGCCTAGCCCAAAAGAAAACACTTAGCTTCCCAGTTGTCCTCTGTGTTAAAGGAGTTCAAGATTATAGCCAAGATGGGTTTTGTAAACTACAGAAACGAACCGGAGTGAAAGACAATATCTGAAAATGCAAGGAAGGATTTAAACAACTCTTAAACCCCATTCAGAACCCAGCCTCTTTGCAAAAAAACTTAATATCTTCACCAGGTAAAATGGCATAACACATCCAACAGTTTCAACTGCCTAGTTTCCACATCTTCACATCAAACTCTCACCAAATTGAGCAACTGATGACCTTTTTTCTGCTCCACACAAAGCCTCTGGTCCTGGTAGGCTCAAAAGAAAGACTCTGCAAGACTGTTCCCCCTCAACCAAGTGAACCTCAAACTATTTCAGGACTTTTCCTATAGTTTGGTAAAAGACAAAAATAACCTAACCCAATCTTTGGCTTAGGACCCTTACAAGTCAGTTAACATGTTTTAACATAAGTTTCTCATTAAAGCCATCATTCCCTTCCTGATCAGTATCCAGTATAATAATTTTGCACCCAAAAACCTTTCCATAAAATCAGGCAGGTAAAAACATGTGAAAAACTAATATCTGATTAAAGGTAAGCTGTGCTTTGCACCGTTAATTTCATAATACTGGCCCAGTTAAATGCATTTCCAAATGTCTGGTTTGCTAGGCCAGTTAATGCTGGGGCAGTTCTAAGTTGAGACATTTGGTTCATAAATACAATAATCTAATGTATGCATGTTCTTATTGTTCCAACATTAATTAGTCTGGTAGATATAGTATTGGAGTGGTACCTTGAGATGTTCCTTCTCCAGGAGAGTCAACATCTATAAACAGAATTCAGAAATGTTAAACCCAAAAAGTGTAGCACTGGTCTGATTCAGTGCAGTTTTAATAACGTGTTGAAAGGCAGTCATGCCATCTGAAGTGTCTGAAGGTTTCTTAGAGGTTAGTGTAGTCCCATGTTTTAAATTACATGAAAGATGCATTGTAAAACTACAAAATATTATTTTTTTCCTCCAACACAATGGCTGTTGATAAATAAGAAAAATCAATATTTAAGTTAGAAGCGTTAGTAACCCATGATACTTAAAATTAGGTATCCTTTTGTTCAAGACTAGAAAATATTTAAAAAAAAAAAACATTAGAAATTTGCATTTTTTACAGTCCACCACCAGTATTTAATGTGTTTATAAATATTTCTGTAGTGGTGCACAGGGCAGTAAGTCTGTGGGGGAATCCAAAACAGGCAGGGCAACAACAGTGGCACACAGACGGTGCAGGGATGCAACAGAAGCGGATGTGTAATCAGCACTCCAACTCTGATATATGCAGGAGGCGGAGGAGAGAAGCTGAGCTGCAATAGGTGCTGGTGACTGGTGTGCGATGGCTGAGAGAAAGAAGCATGCGAGTAAATAAAAAAGTGGTTATTCTGGGCTTACTGTGTGTGGTGCCATTATGTGGTCATGACCCTGGAGTAGCTGGTAATACTAAAATATAATTACCAGTTAAACTTCACAGCTCATAAATTTTTTAAAAATACAGTTATGATAAATCAGTTAATGTGCAAACTGGTAAATGGTCTTACCCTTAGATGTACCTGAAATATCATCAACAGGCTCTCTGGCTCTCTTGCTTTCTGTGGAATAAATGGTGATGAAAGGTGTTAAATAGGCACGTAGCACCTTTTAAGAGAGAGATCACAAGGTGCCTAAACATGGTGCCACTAAAGCCAGCTTGAACAAGTGAGTTTTCAGCTGCTTTTTAAAGGAGACCACTGAGTCCACTGATCTCAGGCTCAGTACACGTGTAATCATTAGTGTGGCAGTTTAGTGCAATTTTAGGGCATACTTTAAATGTAATACTTCAGCCCAAAACCATAATTCCATCTCCATCTTCACGTTAAAATTCTGCTCCACATTTATGTAGAACCAGCTGTGGCTGATGGCCAAGCTGGAAAACGTGACATCAGCAATTTACTACGTGGCTGCACCGCACTGGTCTCCAGATTAGGCAGCCACACCTCCATCTGGCTCAGCCACTCACCTGCTGAGCCACTTGCCTCCTTGGAAAAAAAAGCCCTCCTCTCCTTTTCATCTAATGATTGTGGTTAACAGGAAATCCTCCAGAATGCTGCAGAATCTGTGTCTGCTTTTCTCCTCAGCGGTAAGTCTTGTGAGTGTGTGTGTGCACGCATGCGCTTGTTAATGACTTGTTTTTAGACTGAGAAACTCCGACAGCACACGCGGGGGGTTGAGGGCAGGTGCAGTCTCACTGCCTCAATGCTGCCTTCTCGGTCTGCCAGCCGGACTTTCCTCTTTCAGAAGTGTTTTCCTAACAGGAAGTGTGGATGAAATACATCTTCACCCATGCACTGACCCTCACTTTAAATCACCATGTGGAAAGACGCATCTAATGGTTGTGGAAAATACATTAGGTCTGTTTGGGAAGGGTCAAAACATTGACATGCAAAAAACGACTAAAAATGGGTTAAGAACTGTCCATCGCATTATTATAAATTGGTCTGATGAGTCCAGAAGGACCCTGTTCCAGTGTGATGGTGCTTCAGGGTTAAGAAGAGGAGCAGATGAAATGATGCACCCATCATGCCTAGTGCTTACTGTACAGGCCTGTGGGGGCAGTGCCATTTCTGGGGTTGCTGCAGTTGGTCAGGTCTAGGTTCAGCAACAGGATGTGCTCAAAAAATGAGGTCAGCTGACTACCTTACTATACTCCCAGGTTATTCCAACTACCCTAACGGCACGGGCATATTCAAAGATGACAATGCCAGGATTCATCAGGCTCAAGTAGTGAAAGAGTGGTTCAGGGAGCATGAGACATCATTTTAACTCATAGATTGGCTACCAGAGTCCAGACCTTAACCCCACTGAGAATCTTTGGTGTGTGCTGGAGAAAGCTATTGGGCCATTCCCATCTGTACCGGGTCGGCCCGGGCCGGGTAGCCCCAGTCCGCCCCAGCCTGGCCCGGTTGATTCCACACATCCTTGTCTTAAGCCCATGTGGGCTGATTCTACCCACCAATCAGAGGCTTGCTCTAATGGAAGGTGTGAATTTGCTGTCAGCAGTGGGTGTGTTGGCCCTGGTCGGCCTGAAGCAGACCCCCTCGAGAAGAGGGCTGAGAATGAGCCTTGGTTGGCCCGGAAAAATACCAGGCCACCCAGATATGTAAACAACCTACGCTACCCGGCCCGACCCGGTACAGATGGGAATGGCCCATATGTGAAGCAGTCAGACTCTACCATCATCAATGCAAGATCTTGGTGAAAATTAATGCTACCCTGAATGGAGATAAATCTCGTGGCATTGCAGACGCTCATTTAAAAAAATATTTAGAGTCAATTGTTTAAAGTACTTGGTGATGAGCTTTCTTCAGCCGATTCATCATATAAATATGACATTATCAAGTACAAAAACACCAAGTCAGTTTGAAATAAACATGCTGATGGATATCCATACCATCTCTGGTGCCTGGAGGTTCACTGGGTTCTTCATTTGTGCTGCATTCTGTCAATTCCTCGGTCTCACTTTCTTCACCTCCATCAGAGTCTGTCAGGTCAAGCTCATCTGTCATTTTAATTAAAAGTAAATTTAACATTTGAAAACACAAGGAATGTGATTTTCACATGTAAAGACGTAAATAATACCTTCAATTTCTATCTCCTCCAGTGTTTTGCCTTGAAGATCAGAAAGTGCCCCTTTGTCCAATGCAATAAGTAATTTTGATATTTTTGCAAGTTGGGTTGTGGCCTCTGGCAGCCTATAATATTCTCTATGAACACGAATATCATGTCCCAGAAAGTCAGCAACTTGGTCCAGTTCATGGTTTTTGAGATTCAAAACCTGTGATAATGTTGCAACATGCTTGCGTAGTTGTGTTGATCGAAGCAGGTCAGGTCTTTGAGCACCACACTGATTTGAATAAAGCCTCAGACAGTCCTGTGAGCGAAACGGAGTGAGACAGTGGGGTCGAGCAAAGAGAAAAGGGTTTTTCTGTGGCACTCCACACTCTTGTCTTCTGCTGATGAGAATGTTGATGGCTTCCACCATGTCTGGCGACAATAGTACAGCAACCTTTCGCCCCCTCTTACCTTTAATTTCAACACGGCTGAAATGGGCACAGAGTTTTTGTTCAAATTGTGAAAGACCAAGTGCAACATCTTTATGTAAAGGAGATGTGTCCCTCATAGCAAAGGCAGACAGGTGCATTTTAGAAACCTCTCCCCCTCGTCTTCGGTTGAACAAAATTATTTTTGACAGTGTAGTTTTACAAAGTTCTCCATAGGCTTGTGGTGATGGATCGCATTTCAAGGTCTCTGATGCCGAATTTCCAACCTTTTCAAGATGTTGGTGAAGACGTTTAACATCCTCAGTGAACGGGAGAGTGGATGGTTTGTTGAAGTGCTTGTCATCTAAGGTGGTTAAAGCTGTGTGAGACACTAGTTCAGACCACTTAGTTGAGTACAGTTTTTTGAAAGCTTGGGTTGACTTTTTTAGCTCACAGTCTCCTGTCATCAAAGCTTTACAGTTTATAATGTCACAAATCTTGTGCAACGAATGCCCTAACTTCAGAGCAAGGCTTGGCGTTTGGAATGAATGCTTTTCTTCATCAAACCCTGAGACTTTCTTAACAGCTTGGACAAGTGTATGGAAATTTGAAGGCCTGACTGCTTCTTCAAGATTGTATACTGAATAATCTTTGCGCAGGATTAGAAGGAGTCTTCCAACTTCACGTATCTTCTGACGAATATATTCGTGCTTGGTGGGATCTTGGCCATGTTTATTAAAAAATGACTGTGCAAGCTGAAGTATGTTAAAATCACTTCGTACAGCAGTAGCCACTTCATCATCTCTCATCACAGATAAGAGCTTCCAAACACTTTGGGATATTTGTTGACACAAGGATGAGTCCACCATTGAGGCCAAAGTCAAGACCCTTCCACTCTCTTGTTCATCTTGCAGTGGTTTTGCTTTACATTTATGAGCATGTCGCCAGAAGTGCTTGCGAAGATAAAGCCCTTGGCAATAAGTGCAGTGCACATACTGGTTCAAGTCATATATCTTCTTTGGTTTGCGTTTGATTTTTAGCAGTCCACTGCCACTTTTGTAAACCTCAGAGTTGTGTTTACAGTTTCCCTTGTTCCTTAAACGATCCAACTTTAGTTTACGCATTTTCGAATTTATTGGTAGAGCCAAAACTTCAGCAACTTCTGCATGTGTCTTCTCATGAACTTGGAAGTGTCGAGCAAGTTTAGATTGTGGCTTGTCACAAACAAAGCAATAATTTTTCTTCTCAGTAGAAGATACACTAGACGACTGGATGTTCTCCGCATCCTCAGTTCTTGCAGTAGTCTTTAAAGACATTTCTTCTTCTTGAACTTCAAACTGTTCACGTTGTGGTAGCTTCTTATCTGAGAGTTTGTCTGAATCACTTGAAGAGCTTACAGAATCAGGGACATATTCTTCCTCTGACACTTCATCACTTGGGTCACTTTCTTCAGAAACCTTAAAATAAAAGGTTTAAATCCAACATTGTCCTTGAAAAGTAGAGAAACATTTAAAAAATAAATCAAATATTTACCAATGAAGAATCCCTCATGGTGTTGTTGAAACATTTCTCGTGCCAGATAGAGGAACATACTAAGAAATATAGAAAAAGGGGGAAGTATTATGAAAATTATTTTTAAATCCATCAATCATTTCCACACAATTAAAGGATACTCAACAGTGCAAAACTAACATTTTTCTTGGCAAAACTCCTGCCAAATTGTTTAAAATAATTGTTGGCTTACATCTACATTCATTGTCAGGTCATATCTGACGTTTAAGACAAAAGACAAGTTATAACTGATTTTAAGGTAATCTATCTATATCTACATATACTGTATCTATATATATAAAATCCCAGGATATCTGTATCGTTACCTCTAAAACTTATGAATCACAGAAGCGCAAATCTACAGACAGAAAAATACAGATAGACAAGTGATGAAATCAGCATTTATATAAAGTTACGTTTAACTTAAAGGTTTTCTAATACAATACAAAGAAAATATTTTATTTAACTCAATAATTTATCGATAAACTAGTGTTGCACCAATCAGCTGTTAATCATTATCAACCAATGTCCATTAAAAAAATGATTGTCAAAATCTAATCAAAGCCTTTTAGTGTCCATAACAGCCTATCACTTGTCACTCATACTTTGAAGCCTGCATAGACCATGTCCAGCATCGCAAACATTTACCCTTACTTTTTGAATTTTTTCTCTCTCGAAAAAGTATGTAAAAAAAAATCTGTCTCAAGTCAATTTTATTGTTCCTTTTTTGCCACATAATGTAGCCAGTAGCACTCACAATAGCGACATAGAAACCACTGTGGCCATTTCATGTGATTGACATCCTTATCTGTATCTGTGACCTGAACCTTTTGAAATCAGCAGCTTAAAACCAGATCAAAGTATTCCCATTATCAACTAGAACAAAAACTGAAATTATTAATGGGGGATGGGGGGTGGGGGGTGCAAACTAAACAAACCTCTGCATTTCACACCATCCCATTTTCTTGCCGAATATGGTCCTAAGCAATGGACACATTTTTCCATGCTGGTCAATGAGGATGGGCACAGAACATGTTTGCAGCTCTATATATATAAAAGAAAAAAAAAGTAAAACTTTCAAACAAATTAGAACAATGTGAACAAAAACAAACATTAGAATAGAAACCCATTAATGTTAAAGGTAGTTTAGATTATTGGTTCCTCAACATTTAAAATCAAAACAAATCCTACAAAATGCATTGATTACAAAAGAAGAGGTCTACCCACCTGGATGTCTTGTGTTGACAAGGGAGATGCTACTGTCACAGCTTCGGCTACGTCGGTGTGACTTAAAACCTTGTGGACATGAAACAATAAGCACATTAAGATATATTCAGAAATTTTCTAGTTACAAACTAAAACATGTACAAACAGTAATGTTAAGTACTGCCACTGAGGCAATTGGTTAGCCTGAGAATGACAGCAAAGTTACTTCTGAAGTACAAAACTTCTAAATTTTTATCTGAAAGGATCACACATTACAGGACTGTCTACATCCTCAACATCTAGCATCCAATCCAAAATTGTAAGAAACATGTAGAAAGATTACAATAGGCAGAGATCTACCCACCTGGATGTCTTGTTTTGACGCCAGTGGTTCATCGGCTTTCGCGGCATCGGTGAGACTTGTAACCTTGAGGACATGAAACAAAGAGAACATTAAAATCCATTCACACATGGATCAGCCATCACAGAGACTAGGACTTAACCCCACTGGGAAACTATTGGATGTGCTGGAGAAGACTGCGCAGCAGTCAGACTACCATCATCAATGCAAGATCTTGGAGAAACAATGCAAGACTGGATGAAAATAAATCTTGTGACATTGCAGAAGCTTATCAAAACAATGCCACAGCAAATGTGAGCTTTAATCAAATTTGGTAGCGACTTTTGGTTTTGGCCAGGCAGTGTATGTTAGAACATTAAGAGGCATGAACAATAAATATTTTAAGCCATTTATTTTCTAAATTTACTATTGCAGCTTTAAAACCCAACAAGACATTTTGAAATCTGGGGATTGTAAAGTTTAGATGTGTGAATACATCCATCAGTATTTTGCCAGTTCAAAAACACAGTCCCCTTAATGGTCTTCTCTGATAGGATTAAACATTACAGGGACAGTGTCGACTGCCCCAACATATAAATCCAAATAAAAAATTGTAAGAAACATGTAGAAAGATTAATAGGGCTGCAGCTATCGAATATTTTTGTAATCGAGTACTCTATCGAATCTTTTATCGATTAATCGAGTACTCTAATAAATTACTCTACTGCGTTTTTAAACCATTATATCAAATAGCATTTTATAAAATATGAAATATCTCTTGAAATGAGAAAGCAATTGCCAGTTATTCTTCAAGTTTTATTCAAAATTTGTTTTCAAAACTTCAGCACTTCAACTTTACTTCACAGTAAACAAATGTGACTGGCTGCGGCCCAAACAGCACCAGAACCTCTCACGGCACATGCGCAAACATGGCTCGCCAGCTATTTCCCTATTAACACACGTCTGTTTTAATTTCTACACTTTTCTTGTCTCACACTAACAAGGATTGTCGAAAGCATGTTTGCCGTGGTTATGTCAAATTATACTGACCACAAAACATTTATTTACTTTCTTTCGTTTTCCTCATAAATACCTGTGTCCTCCTGCAGCAATCCTGAGGGACAACAGACATCAATAACACAGTAAAAAGTCTAACGTGTTGTAAAAACTGCTATTTTTAGCTAATTTTAAGTCCGACGTGTTGCTACCAGACGTACGGTGTGAGCTGAAACTGAGTACTACAAATGAAAAAGTCCCACAGTGTCTGCAGAATATATAGAAAAACAGGCCAAAATGCATTATCTTGTAGAGGCTCCGAGTCCACTTGCAGAAGTGACATTTAAAGGTGCTGCAGCATGAAGGATGTGGTGTTGTGGTAGGCTAAATCCATTTTACAGTATTTACACTGGACTACGTTTTCCGCCTTACGACGTGAAAAATGGTACCACACCTTTGACATTTTGTGTCTTTTTCGCACTCCACCGGGGTCCACATTGTCCACCATGGCATAAAAGAATGTTAAGTTGCGTTCGCTACTCGCGTGTGCATTCAGTGCAGTGTGTATGTGAGTCACTTATTTCGGTCCGGGTTAAACATGACCACGGGTGATTGCAAAGTCATTAATTAATTAAACATGAATTAAATGAAGCTTCGAGGCAGATAACTTGACTCGAGGATTTTTTGTACTTGAATTATTCGAGGTACTCGAGGAATCATTTCAGCCCTAATTACAAAGGCAGAAAACTACTTACCTGGGTGTCTTGTTTTGATGACAGAGTTGCCAGAGGTTCATCTGCATTTGCTGCATCGTAGAGACTTGTAACCTTGTGCAAATGAAACAAAAAGTGCATTAAAATCTATTCGGAACTTATCTGGTTACAAACTAACACCGGCACATACAGTTATATGTGAGTGCTGCCACTGACACAAAAGGTTAGCCTGAAAACAGTAAAGTAACTTCATAGGTACCAAACTAGTTCACACCAAGAGACCTTTTACACACAGTCCTCATTAATACCCAACAAGACATTTTGAATTGTGAGGACTGTGTAAAAACTGGATGCGAGAACACATGCTCTCCCCATTTTGTTAGTTATACACACAGTCCTCAGAATGTTGTCATCTGAAAGGATCACACATTACAGGGACTGTCTACATCCCCAACATCCGATCCAAAATTGTAAGAAACATGTAGAAAGATTACAAAGGCAGAAAACTACTTACCTGGGTGTCTTGTTTTGAGGACAGAGTTGCCAGAGGTTCAACTGCATTTGCTGCATCGTAGAGACTTGTAACCTTGTGCAAATGAAACAAAAAGTGCATTAAAATCTATTCGGAACTTATCTGGTTACAAACTAACACAGGCACATACAGTTATATGTGAGTGCTGCCACTGACACAAAAGGTTAGCCTGAAAACAGTAAAGTAACTTCATAGGTACCAAACTAGTTCACACCAAGAGACCTTTTACACACAGTCCTCATTAATACCCAACAAGACATTTTGAATTGTGAGGACCGTGTAAAAACTGGATGCGAGAACACATGCTTTCCCCATTTTGTTAGTTATACACACAGTCCTCAGAATGTTGTCATCTGAAAGGATCACACATTACAGGGACTGTCTACATCCCCAACATCCAACATCCGATCCAAAATTGTAAGAAACATGTAGAAAGATTACAAAGGCAGAAAACTACTTACCTGGGTGTCTTGTTTTGAGGACAGAGTTGCCAGAGGTTCATCTGCATTTGCTGCATCGTAGAGACTTGTAACCTTGTGCAAATGAAACAAAAAGTGCATTAAAATCTATTCGGAACTTATCTGGTTACAAACTAACACCGGCACATACAGTTATATGTGAGTGCTGCCACTGACACAAAAGGTTAGCCTGAAAACAGTAAAGTAACTTCATAGGTACCAAACTAGTTCACACCAAGAGACCTCTTTACACACAGTCCTCATTAATACCCAACAAGACATTTTGAATTGTGAGGACTGTGTAAAAACTGGATGCGAGAACACATGCTCTCCCCATTTTGTTAGTTATACACACAGTCCTCAGAATGTTCTCATCTGAAAAGATCACACATTACAGGGACTGTGTCGACTGCCCCAACGTATAAATCCAAATAAAATTTTTTAAGAAACATGTAGAAAGATTACAAAGGCAGAAAACTACTTACCTGGGTGTCTTGTTTTGATGACAGAGTTGCCAGAGGTTCATCTGCATTTGCTGCATCGTAGAGACTTGTAACCTTGTGCAAATGAAACAAAAAGTGCATTAAAATCTATTCGGAACTTATCTGGTTACAAACTAACACCGGCACATACAGTTATATGTGAGTGCTGCCACTGACACAAAAGGTTAGCCTGAAAACAGTAAAGTAACTTCATAGGTACCAAACTAGTTCACACCAAGAGACCTTTTACACACAGTCCTCATTAATACCCAACAAGACATTTTGAATTGTGAGGACTGTGTAAAAACTGGATGCGTGAACACATGCTTTCCCCATTTTGTTAGTTATACACACAGTCCTCAGAATGTTGTCATCTGAAAGGATCACACATTACAGGGACTGTCTACATCCCCAACATCCGATCCAAAATTGTAAGAAACATGTAGAAAGATTACAAAGGCAGAAAACTACTTACCTGGGTGTCTTGTTTTGAGGACAGAGTTGCCAGAGGTTCATCTGCATTTGCTGCATCGTAGAGACTTGTAACCTTGTGCAAATGAAACAAAAAGTGCATTAAAATCTATTCGGAACTTATCTGGTTACAAACTAACACAGGCACATACAGTTATATGTGAGTGCTGCCACTGACACAAAAGGTTAGCCTGAAAACAGTAAAGTAACTTCATAGGTACCAAACTAGTTCACACCAAGAGACCTTTTACACACAGTCCTCATTAATACCCAACAAGACATTTTGAATTGTGAGGACTGTGTAAAAACTGGATGCGTGAACACATGCTCTCCCCATTTTGTTAGTTATACACACAGTCCTCAGAATGTTGTCATCTGAAAGGATCACACATTACAGGGACTGTCTACATCCCCAACATCCGATCCAAAATTGTAAGAAACATGTAGAAAGATTACAAAGGCAGAAAACTACTTACCTGGGTGTCTTGTTTTGAGGACAGAGTTGCCAGAGGTTCATCTGCATTTGCTGCATCGTAGAGACTTGTAACCTTGTGCAAATGAAACAAAAAGTGCATTAAAATCTATTCGGAACTTATCTGGTTACAAACTAACACAGGCACATACAGTTATATGTGAGTGCTGCCACTGACACAAAAGGTTAGCCTGAAAACAGTAAATTAACTTCATAGGTACCAAACTAGTTCACACCAAGAGACCTTTTACACACAGTCCTCATTAATACCCAACAAGACATTTTAATTGTTAGGACCGTGTAAAAACTGGATGCGAGAACACATGCTCTCCCCATTTTGTTAGTTATACACACAGTCCTCAGAATGTTGTCATCTGAAAGGATCACACATTACAGGGACTGTCTACATCCCCAACATCCAACATCCGATCCAAAATTGTAAGAAACATGTAGAAAGATTACAAAGGCAGAAAACTACTTACCTGGGTGTCTTGTTTTGATGACAGAGTTGCCAGAGGTTCATCTGCATTTGCTGCATCGTAGAGACTTGTAACCTTGTGCAAATGAAACAAAAAGTGCATTAAAATCTATTCGGAACTTATCTGGTTACAAACTAACACAGGCACATACAGTTATATGTGAGTGCTGCCACTGACACAAAAGGTTAGCCTGAAAACAGTAAAGTAACTTCATAGGTACCAAACTAGTTCACACCAAGAGACCTTTTACACACAGTCCTCATTAATACCCAACAAGACATTTTGAATTGTGAGGACTGTGTAAAAACTGGATGCGAGAACACATGCTTTCCCCATTTTGTTAGTTATACACACAGTCCTCAGAATGTTGTCATCTGAAAGGATCACACATTACAGGGACTGTCTACATCCCCAACATCCGATCCAAAATTGTAAGAAACATGTAGAAAGATTACAAAGGCAGAAAACTACTTACCTGGGTGTCTTGTTTTGAGGACAGAGTTGCCAGAGGTTCAACTGCATTTGCTGCATCGTAGAGACTTGTAACCTTGTGCAAATGAAACAAAAAGTGCATTAAAATCTATTCGGAACTTATCTGGTTACAAACTAACACAGGCACATACAGTTATATGTGAGTGCTGCCACTGACACAAAAGGTTAGCCTGAAAACAGTAAATTAACTTCATAGGTACCAAACTAGTTAATACCAAGAGACCTTTTACACACAGTCCTCATTAATACCCAACAAGACATTTTGAATTGTGAGTACCGTGTAAAAACTGGATGCGAGAACACATGCTCTCCCCATTTTGTTAGTTATACACACAGTCCTCAGAATGTTGTCATCTGAAAGGATCACACATTACAGGGACTGTCTACATCCCCAACATCCAACA